CGGGGGCGGCTCGGGGGCGGCACGGCGAACCTCACGGCCGTGCTAGCGTGGCCTACTTCTGATTGTACCCCCAGCATTGTCACCAGCGCCCTACGCCACGCACGTAAACGCACACACACACACAGACGCGCGCGCACGCACACAAGGCCGGCCGAGGAATTTTACGAGCGCGACGCGGTATGCCAAGCAGTGGCTGGGGCGGCCTGCCGGGCTGCGCATCGGTCATCTTGGAGGGGCGGGCCTCGGGCTCGGGCCCTAGCTCGGGCCTGCCTGGCATGCTCCCTATGCCCTCTGTGGTTTTACCGCGCCTCCAGGCCCCGGCCCCAACCCCAGCGCCAACCCACACCCTTCAGCTTGACGATGACAAGCCGCACATTCTCCACCCCAGCCAGCCACCCCACCCGGCACTAGTCACACCGCGCTGATGAGTCATTCGCCGAATGAGTCTGACTGCCGAGCAGACGGAAAGGTTGCCGTGGAGAGAGAAACAACTTCCACTTTCATTGCACAACATTTGAACACGTTCCACATTCAGGAGGCAAAAACTCCAGTGAGCAAATTTGCCAGAGATCTAGCACAGTCTAGCACATTCCCACCATCATAGTACAGAAAATTTCACAGTGGGTCACCCCTTGGAGCTGCCACCGTCTCGCTTTGTGCTTTCCGGCTCACTCGCCCCGGCCATCCATCCATCCATCCATCTGTCCAGGCCAGCCGAGGGCGGCCGCCCTCCCGGCTCCCGCCCGAAACCCCCTGCAATCCGCAAACTCTCCTTAACGCCAGCCGCCGCTGCTTCCGGTTCCCGGTTCCCGTCGGACGCCTCTCTTCCCTTCCCTTTCCGTGCCGTGCCGTGCCGTGCCGTGCCGTGCCGCGGGCAGCCTTCCCTCAGGGTCTCTTCCAGCGGGCTACTCTTCCAGCCCCCCCCCCCTTTCCAGGCCTCTTTTCCAGACACCCCTCCAGCCCCCCTTCCAGGCTGCCATCCCTCGGGTTCCAGGCCTTCTTTCGTCCTGCCCACCGGCCCAGCCCGGCCCGGCCCATCGAGCGGTCTGCATCGAAGCTCAGCACTTCCTGCCTATCGACCTCAACGCTCGAACTCTCTCTCTCTCGCTCGCCCCGGCGTCGCTTCCCCGCGATCCACGTCTCTCTCTCTCTCTCTCTCTCTCTCTCTCTCTCTCTCTCTCTCTCTCTCTCTCTCTCCCCGCGGTGGCGCTTGGCGCTCCGCCCCGGTCTCTCGCTGCCTGCGCTTATTTCTCGTATCTGGTCCGGGCAGGGCGCTGCCGGCAAGTGAGCAGAGACGGGTTGACCTTGGCATACTTCCCCTCCCCCCCCACCCCCACACTGGAGAATTCACGCGCACTCCTCTTTCTCTCGTCTTTTACATTATTTTTAGTCCCAACAAATGGAAGGCGGGCGGAAGGGGTTACAATTGCCGCGAGAAACTTAAAACTCGGGGACATAATTTGGCGAGAGCGTCGCCGCGTCGCCACCGCCGCCTCGGCAGCGGGAGTCGGGGAGTGCTCGTCGCCGCTCGTCCTTCCGCGCGGCCAGTCCTCATCCGTCCCCGCCACTGCTAAATAAAAAACAACACCTTCTTGTTTCCCCCGCCGAGAAACCAACTTTGCGGAGACAAATTCTGGCTGCGGCGAACCCCGAGGGAGGAGATGAGCACAGCGAGAGCGCCTCGGAGGCAGGCAGGCAAGCCGCCACACTCGCATGCAGCGAAGCGCGGTGGTTGCCTACCGCTCTTGACTTCGACTAGCACTGAGAAAACGCATTTGAAATCAGAAAGAGTTGAAACAAGCATTGGATTTTTAGTTGGAAGACAGAAAACCCAAGACACTAAGAAAAACTGCGTTCGCATTTTATTCGTATCTTGGGAAATTTTTCCCAAAGACGTTTAACAGTGCATCCCTTTGTTTTTTTTTCCACGGTGCTCTCCCTCCGTGTAACTGGTGCAGCGCGGCCCGAGAGACTCGGTCGGGACGCCGCAGTGTTGCGGGCGCGCCTGTGGTGCGCCTACCAGAGGCGTACAGCATGCTGCGCACGTTGTTTGTCCCCACGGTGGGCCCCGCCCGGAACGCCCCGGAGGCCCCGGAGGCCCCGGAGTCCCGCCGCAACGCGTCTTGACTGCGGCTGCGGGTGCATCAACTGCATGAACTGCATCAACTGCATCAGCTCAGTGGGCCAGAAGACCGGTGGAGGCGGCCAAAATTCTAGACGTGTTTTGAGCTCCAGACTCGCTAAATGGGACTCGAATCGAACGTGTGACCCCACCAATGGATTGCTATGCGAACGAGGAATCCATTGGTGGGGTTACATGTTTGGTTCGAGTACCATTTAGCGACTCTGGAGCTCAAAACGCGTCTCGAGTTACCTCTGGTCCACTGTGGGGACCACGGAGTGGACCGGAGTCGCAGCCACCACGCTGTGCATTGTGCATGATGACACAGTCGTCATTAGCATGCATGCATGCACCGCGCCGTGCATTATCATTGGCAAACACGGTTGGATCTACGGAGCTCGCGCAAAACAAACCCATCCGAATGTTTCATATTTCATGGTCCCATTTCCATGCGGCGTTTTGTGCCCCCGCGGGGAATCGAACCCCGATCATGGCGCTCCGCGGCCGCCTCCGCGCGGGCCGCTCGGCTACCTCGACGAGGGGGCGGCGGGATCGTCAGAAGTTGGTCTAGCGCGGCGCGGCGGCCAGGCGGCACGAAGCTTGTAGCAATAAGAATAAGCACGGCCCGGCCTTGCAATGCCGGCAATGCCACTGTCAAGGCCTCAAGACCTTGCCGCCGGGCCACATGGCCACGGCACGGCGTCATGGCCACGGCCAGTAGTGGGACGCGCGGGACGCGGTGGCCAGGCGAATCTTCCCCGCCCGCCCGCGGCCCACCCCCAGCCCGCCCCCGCAGCCCCCTACCGCCCCCGCTGCCGCCTCCCACCTGTGCCCCCGAGCCCCCTCCGTCGCCCTGCTCATCGCGACGCCCACAACGTCGACGGGGAGAAACTGTGAGCGATATTTCGCCGTCAAACAACCCGACGACGACAACAACAATCAAAACCCGGGGTTAGGTTAATTGCATTACTTTGCGACTCAGCGGCGTGGCCGAGCGCGGCAGCGGAACGCAGCGGAACCCTGGAAAGGAAAACTGGGCCGTTCCAGCAGCCAGGGCCGCCCAGCCTCACCCATTAGACTTACCAGATTCTCGTCCTGGACGCGGTCCTGGAGTCCTGGAGTGCCGGAGCCATGCCTGGAGCACAGTCCTGAAGTCATGGAGTTCTGGAGCCTGGAGCCCTCGAGTCCAGACAGAAACAAGGACGTTTCCATTATAGATCATCTTTCTTTCCTTCCTTCGCACGCCTGCTTCCTTTATTCCTCCCTTTTTTCGTGTTTTTTTTTTCTTTCGGCGATGTTATTAAGAATTCTCAGCTATGCGCACACCAGCATTGCGCGCGCGAAGGGAATGAATTAATTCTCCAAATTATGAAATATTTCTGCGGCGAGTCGGATGGCCGCCACCACGGCCGAGCCCGACAACGGGGCGAGCAGCCCATCCCACAGTGGGCCAGAAGACCGGTGGAGGCGGCCGAAACCCAGTCTTGAGTCTTGAGTTTTGGCCGCCTCCGTCTTCTGACCCACTGTGAGGCGCCCCTGCGGCGATTCCCAAGAGTCATTTAGTCGCTCGGTCTCTCTCGCACCCCAAGGAAACGCCCCAGGAGTGCGGCAAAGACGGAGCGACCAAGCGGCAGGTATGCCGCCATGCCACGCCATGCAGGGTCAAGAGGGTTGGCTGACAACTCGTCTCATTATTGACGGGGCTGCCAGTAAAATATTCATTCCGGGCCTCGGACGCTCGTGCCACTAGCTAGCTCTTTCCCTCCCTCCCTCCCTCCCTTTCTCACTCTCTCTTCCTCTGTCTCCTTCTCTTTCTCTCTCTCACACACACACAAACCCCACTTCTTGAGAAACATGCCCGCCCTCCATACTTCCTCCTAGTCTCACTGAACGAACGCCCGGGCTGCCTGCTGTCTGTCTGCCTCTATGGTCTGTCTGTCTGTCTGTCCCGGACGCACGACTTTGCGAATTCTTGACACGCTCCAATATGAATGGCGCCGCAGACTGATTCCGAGAAACGTTTTCATCGCTCTGTCTCTCTCGCGCCTGTACGCACCATGAGTGCGAAAGAGAAGGGACGACGACGACGAACCTCGAAGAAGGTCTGAGCCAGAACAGAACGGAAGACGAACAGACGGGTGGGCGAGCGGACTGCCTCGCGGACAGCCACAAGTGGAAAGCTGTGGGAAGTGGAAATGAAATCATCGAAACCCCACCTCGGAGCGCCTCACGCGAACTTCCACTTTGAACAACAGTGTTCGGCGCGAACGCCCCTCCCCCGCAAAAGATGGATTTCATTTCCATGCGCGTTCCCAGCGAGTTTCTGCTCAAGGTTAAGCGGCATTCCTGACGTAGAGAGGCATGTGCTGGGTAATGATAGTAGAATTGTTCTACTTCTATGCCTCGGCCGGTTTAAGGCAACGTTTTGACTGTTTCGACACATCTACTTCCCCTTCTGACAACACGTACAGGCTATCAAACATCCTTCTCACCTAACCTAAGTCAGCTAGTTTTTGACCAAAAAAAGTTTAGCGTAATTTGAACACGTGGTGCTGCGCGAGCACAAAAACACATCACTGAACTGAACAAACACAAACACGCACGAACTAAATGAAGTCAAATGGGGTCTTGGGGGTGTGCGCGCACGTTGAAACCGCCAACTTTCAAATGATTCCTGTGAGTATGAGAAATTTAACTCTCGATTAATCGATGTTTCTGCCAACCTTGCATAAAGAAGTTAGAGGGCACCATTCACGAACGAACCATTATTAAACAAATATTTACCGAATTTGACACTTTCAGAGATGCTGGAACGATCGTCCATTGTCAAAACCATGAACAACAGTTAGGACTGCCTGAGGAAACGGGTGGCAGCCCTGGTATAGTCTGTCTCCTGTCACTTGTTCGTGCGTCAAGCGGTATTTACGTTTACGTTCAGTCGTTTTGCGGTTTCTTTCTGTTAACTTCTTGTCCGTTTCAACGGAACAGTGCTTATTGATAATCCTAGCACAATCCGATCACTGTTGCACTTCCATCCAAAATGGAGCCGGTGCCGGCTATGTTTGGTCTAATCGTTTCGGGGAGAATAGTAAGTGTTGAGTGTACGAAGTTGAGGTTATTCTTCTCTCGGTTTCTGTCAACCATCATATTACTTTGATTTCCTTTTAGTTTTAATAAGTATTTAACGTGTTTTCACTGTCCCAAATTCTTGGATTTTTACATTTTTGCCCCGAAAATCGTAATCTCAGTCTGTCATTTACAACAATAATTTTTTGGACCATGGAATATTCTGGAAGCTTCTCTACTGCAAGGGATCTCTGGTTTATTCTATGGGTGTTATTAAACGTTTTACAAAGACGAGTCTGTCAAGTTCATTGGTTTCCTGTTAGCTTTCTTTCATTGCTGGCATACTTAACCCTGCTGAGGTGTACTTATTCTGTATTTTCACTGTTTTCCTCAGGTTCAAACTGACTTTCAACCACTTACTCCAACCAACCTGGTAGCTACCATTCCTGATGCAGATAACATTAACCATGTTGTCGTCTTTTTAACTGGTGCAACTCCATTCCCACCAGATATGGGTGGCGTAGGTATGATACAGCGCTGTTAACCAATTATCTTAGTGTAAGCCATTCGCTATATTTCCTCTAACTCCTGTTTTATTGTACAGTGTTCTTTGGATGGCCTGACGACACAACAGGAACGTGCAATTGGCAACTGCTGGGATATATTTCCAATGAGAAACCATCTGCAATTTTCAAAGTTTCAAATTTTAAGAAAGGTTCCTTACTTGGCGCTGGATGTCAAAACCCATTTGCTCTTCATGTAAGTATTCGCGGGACTTTGGAAATAGACATGGTATGATAATGATACGACTTTTCAACCCTTCTCATCCTTTTCATCCCATTCTACTTCCATTCAAATTATTAAAATTATTATTTTGATGCATAGTCAAATTTGTGTGGTTCTAATCACTCCTGTCTGTTTATTTGTTTTCTCTTCTAGATGTCCAAAAATGCTCAAATTGGAATATCTGTTGAGCCTTTAACATCAGTTCAGCAGCAAATCAGCCAAATTGTAACCTCAGCTGACGGTTCAACAGCAACAAACTTTCGTGAATTCTGTACAAAAATGTTAGAAAACTTTATGAACTATGCCAGTAGTTTTTCTCAATCTCAAAGTGAAATGATTCCCAACCCTTCACAACAGTATGTGCCATTATCAACCCTTCAAACATGGTATGATAATTTCAATCGAAGATTGGAAAACAATCCATACTTTTGGAGAGCTTAAATGTTATGGTCCATTGTAATTACAAATTTTTGATATACAAATTTTGTGATATTGTTATGTACCATATTTTTGTTTCCCTAAGAATGATAACTATGTTTCTATTTGGATATTTTTAGGACTAATACGGAAAAATTGAGACATTACTTATCAGATGTGTACTGTGAGTACTGTGTTTCCTATTTGGTTCTTATGTAGGACTACTATATGGTTAAGCTGAGACAATATTTATCAGATGTGTTTTCATGCAACACTTTCGTGTTTTGTGGGTTTGTTGTTTTTCTAAGTATGTATGTGTAAGATAGTGTGACAGCATCCTCTCATTTTAATATATTACTGACATTTCTTATTGATTTGCCCGTCTTAATCCTGTAATTAATCATGCAATTGTCTTCAATTTCAAGTGTTTCTGAATGTGGCTTTGTTTCTTGTTATTTAATCGTGCAACTTCTAACAAAATGAGCTAGTAGCTGAAGTCTCTTACAATTTTTGAATCTCTCTTCACCATTTTAGAACTATGGAAAATGTGATGTACTGAGAGTTCCGCTTTGCAAGAAGTCAGGGAACCCAAATAAAATCCACGTTCTTGTTCTAACTTTCTATACATCACATCAGTGCCATATGTACTTGAAATCTTGCTAAATGAAAGACATTGTCTCTTGTGTCCCGCCTTTGTATGCTCAACTGACTACTTAAGAATTTTATTTATGACATCTTGCCTGCATCTCTGTATTTTGTATTTAAGTGAAATTGAAGAGGGCATTTAAATGGGCATAGCAATATGTTGTGCATTTTGCGCACGGTCCATTTTATTTTTTTAATTTGTCCCAATTTAGTTCAACTGACAATAAATCATAATTTTCTAGTCTTTCTGTGTACATTTCAAACCTATTTTCCCGTCCTTTTTTTTAAAAGTTACCTACAAGAAAGATAAGGTGAAGACTGGATGAAGCCAAACCTGCAGATTCCATCAGTTAGGGAGAGAGACAAAGGTCAAGCAGCTCAGAACAACTGTTCACGACATTTCTTAAGAATTCAAATTGATAGCAAATTGAAAGCATTTGTACCATTTGTCCTCGTGAGCACCGCGGCTGCGGAGAGAGGGAAGACCTAGCCTGCCTAGCCGCTCGAGCATGAGCATGCCGCCCCAGGGCTGCCAACCTGACGAGCCAAGCCCACCCCGCTGCAGCCAGGTAGCTAAAGAAGTCGTCCTCTGACGTCCCGTCGTGTCAGGGTCAAGGAGAAAGTCACCGGGGCTCTGAGGACATGTCCGCTCCGCTCGAGTAAGAGTTCCCCCCTGACGTCAGGACCCGCGTCATGAAGCGGCGGCGTGCAACCTGCCGCGCGGAAACTGAAACTACCCCCATGGGCTGCGCCGCTGGGCCGCTGGGCCCGCTCTCTCTCTCTCTCTCGCACGCGGGCGGACGCCGGGCGGACGCAGCCCCGGAGGGAGAGGGAGGGCAGGTGGGTGGGGGTTGAGGTGAGGCCAGGGGTGGCAGGGGCGGGGCAGGGTGGGGGCCTTCGATCTGGCACATCCGTGTGCTGGCCGCGCTGGGGGCGGAAGGGGCGGCTCGCTGGGCGCTTCCCCCACCCCCGCCTCGTCGCAGTGGCGTGGCGGCGTGGCGGGTTTGCCGGCGGGGCTGGAGTGAGACAGAGAGAGACAGAGAGGGCGGGCGCGGCACCTCGCTCGCGGCCCGGCCCGGCACCGCGACGCCGTGGCTACGCCACACAGCGCTAGGCAGTAGCGGGGAGCGGACGGTACGCCCCGCTCGCGTTAGGCCCTACCCGGCAAGGCGACTGGCACGCGGCTCGCAGCGTCGCTCCGCGCAGCACACTGCAACCGGCGAACGGCGACGCGTGACGCCGCCGCCAGCCCCGCCGACGGCGGCCGCGCGGCCAGGACCAGCAGGGCCCGCATGACGGCGGGGGACGTCGCCGACGGGACGCCGCGCGCGCCGAGGCCGGGACGGCCGGGAGCACCACAGGTAACGCAATGTAAACAAAGCCCCCACCCCACCCTCTCCGGTGCGCCGCGGCGGCCACGTGCACGACGACGGCCTCGGCGTGCTGCAGGATGCCGGCGGCTCGGCCCGGGCAGGCCGGGGCCGTGGTGCTGGTGGCGAGGCCGGTTCGGCGGTTCGGTGCAGTGGGGTGCGCACTGCAGTGGCGTGGCGCGGCGCGGCGGTGCAGGGGTGGTGGATTGTTCGGGAGGGCGCGTGCTCAACCCGCCCCGCCATGCCCGCCGCGCCGCCGACCGGCCCCGCCACGCACAAGGGCGACGCTGTCTGGAACAGGGCCTCGTCCTCGTCGGCGTGCATGGGACGGCCCCCTGCGGGTAGGCCGTCCCGTCGAACAGGGACGCGTCCGGGACTGCCTACCTGCCAGGCGGCTCGGACCGCTGCCGGTCGAGCAGGCCCAGGCGGTCAAAACTCTAGACGCATTTTGAGCTCCAAGGACGCTAAGCAGGACTCGAACCGACTGGATTGCTCTCCGAACGAGGAATCCATTGGTGGGGTCACACGTCCGGTTCGAGCCCTGTTAAGCTCATCTGGAACTCCAAACGCGTCCATGATTTTGACCGCCTCCACCGGTCTTCTGGCCCACTGTGCGGCGATGGCCAGTGACGGAGAACGCCCACTCCACTGTAACAGTATCAGTGCTGCTGCCAAACTCCGTTCGTCGGGTTCGTCGCTACCCCTGGCGCGAGAGACTCTGCCAGCCTATGGACAGCTTCCTCGCGCGGGGTATCGTCCCGCTCCTGCTTCCGGTGTAACGCAGGACCGCAGGGCGCTTGTCCCGAGCCAGGCCTTCACTCCAAATCGAAAGGCGACATGCCGAGAGTTTTGCACTCCGTGGCACTCGGTGACACGCCGTCGGTGGCACTCCGCCAGGGACGCGCTCGACGCGCTCTCAGGAGCCTCCAGTTCCAGTCCACTCGGCTGGAGCGCGGCTGGAGGGCGTGCTCGGCGCGCACTCCAACCCGCCGGGCCGCCGCCTGCACGGCCTCGCCCGCCTCGCCCGCCTCGCCCGCCTCGCATCGACCACCGAACGCGAACAGTTAGTTCGCTAACCGCCGAATTTTGGAAATCCATTGGCCGTGCGCCAAAGTGGACGTTAGGGTATCAAGTGGTGTGTGTTTGTGTGTGTGTGTGTGTGTGTGTGCGTGTGTGTGTGTGTGCGTGTGTGTGTGTGTGTGAGAGAGAGAGAGAGAGAGAGAGAGAGAGAGAGAGAGAGAGAGAGAGGAGGAGAGAGAGAGAGAGAGAGAGAGCAGACCACGATGCCCATGTGGGAGCGGTCCGGCGACCGGAAATGGTTCGGGAATTCGCAACGAGCGGCAATTAGTGTGGAAATTGGTGTCCGAGGGACGAGAGAGGTGGCGGCGACCGGCGCCGTACGCCCCGCCGTGGGCCACCTGAGGGGGGGGGGGCTGTTGCAGAGAGTCTGAGGTCGAGGACGTTTTTCTCGACCCCAGACCCTTTTATACGAGAACGACGCTAATACTTAGGTACCAGCATTCAAGGTTCCCGCCCCCTCCCCCATTGAAAACCCCCAAGAAAGGCCAGATTGCGGGAATCGACGGGGCAAACTCGGGGCAAGTACAAAGACCTACATAGAGCTCTGGTCGCGGACAAAGTCTCGGTCGCATCGCTGGTGGGGCCTGGTGGGGCTTCCCTCTTTATTGAGCGGGTACCTGCAGGCTGCTCTGTCTCCGTCACTGTCGCACTCACGGGGCGTCACCTTGGGGTGCGAGAGAGACAGAGCGCCGCCGGCCGATGTACTAACCCGATGTAATCAACTTACGGTGTGAGGGACGCCGTGTCGCCGGCGGGGCCGATGATGCCGGGCTCTGATTCGCGGAGCAATCCCATTGAAACAATGACACGGTCGCCACTCAAGATTAGGGGCGGAGCCAGAGCTGGCCTCTCTTTGCCTACCTACGGCACTCTAAATGTCTTACGGTGGAAGGCTACAACACCATATCATGGCGAAGATTTTCTCCGTGATACCAACGAAATTCGTCAGAGTGAATTCTCAATGGCATTGGCATAAAGTCAGCTGCACCACCATACTATAGACAATTAATTTTCACCATAATTTAGAGAATCTTCTCTGTAAAACTTTTAGAGTGGGGGGACAAACTCAGACAAACTAGAGTTTTTTGTCTACCATTCAGGCAGCTATGTACCGAGAGGTCAAGGGGGTCGACTGTCCTTTCACTCCCACCCCATTTTCCGGGTCGCGCTTGCTTGCATTGCGCTCCGGTCGGACAAGATGACAAGACGGGAGAGGGGGTGGGGGTGGATGGGGGTGAATTGGTTGTCTCAGCTAATTTGGCGCCGGCTGGAAAGGTGTCATCTGGAAGGAAGGCCCGAGATTCTGGCATTTCATTCAGGCGGAAAGGACAGTGAAGCTTCTCAAACTACGTCGGAAGTAAACGTTTGAGTCGCTTCATCCCTCTTGTGTAAAATCAAAATGTTCCGATTTGCAGTGTCATATTAAATTTAACTTCGTCTCCCTTTCTTTTTCCCTCCCGAGAGGCGTGAAGGGGGCCGGGCCGGTGCCGGCCCGAGGAACGAGGAAACGGGGTCTGGATGGCGTTGAGTGCATTCCTTTTTCAAAGGAGCCCTTTGCCTACGGTCCGGAAAATCGACCGACGTGATAGCGGAGCGAAAGCGCGAAAACGGAAGGGATAGGCCACTGCGCCTCTGCGATGCTCTGCGACCACCACCCCGGACCTCCCCAACGAAAGCCAAAGCCCCGCTCCCCACAGCCAGCCGCCGCCAGCCGCGCCCCTCTCAGCCAGCCCCTCACCGAGCTTTATTGAAAAATACTCCTTGTCTCTCTAAAACGAATACTCTTTGCCCTGTCGCTCTTGCTGCTTGATAGGCCGTTGTTCGGGCCGAGGGGAGGGGAGGGGGAGGGGAGCCCCGCCGCGGCCCCTGGGGGGCATCTGGCATAGCGTGCAGAGTGGCAGCAGTGGCAGCAGTGGAGTTTGGAGCGGGAGAAGAACAAATACGACTGGAAAGCAGTTTGCTACCGGACTAAAAAAGTCTCCGCCTTCCAACGGGTGGTGTCGTTTGTAATAAACACCATAAAAAAGCGAAAAGGAAAAGAAGAAAAATTCTCGGGATGACTTAATTAAGATAACACCACCTGCGCTGACTCTGCAAGGCCAGTTCTGTTCCATTGTCGCCGTGTGCTTTCGTCAGCGTTATCAACGGCAGACGCGCAGATAGGACATCTTTTTCGGGTCCCCGCTGATCTCAGGGCGTGGCGTGTGCAACTTTTCCGAGCTTGGGCGTCGAAGCCACCCCCTAGAGTACACAGAACTAGGATGGCCCGTCGCGCAGTGGGCCAGAAGACCGGAGGAGGCGGCCAAAATTCTGTACGCGTTTTTGAGCTCTAGAGTCACCAAATGGGACTCGAACCGGACGTGTGACCCCACCAATGGATTCCTCGTTCGGAGAGCAATCCATTGGTGGGGTCACACGTTCGGTTCGAGTCCCATTTAGCGACTCTAGAGCTCAAAACGCGCCTGGAATTTTGGCCGCCTCCACCGGTCTTCTGACCCACTGTGCCACGGCATCCCCGTAGTCCATCCCCGTTCCCTGCTGCCCCGGCCATGGAAAGCTCTGAACCAATCCATTTGCCGTGTTTGCCTGGCCTTCGACTGTCGCGGCCTCGCGGCCTCGCGGGCCTCGCGGCCCACCCTCACCTGTGCCCGGCCTCTGCCAGCCCGTGTGTCTATACACGTCCCCCTGTATATCGCCCTCACGTGTCCGTCCGTCCATCTGACCTTATATTTCTATATCTGTCAGCAATCAGTCACACTGACGCCGGAGGCCTCCGGGGGGCAGCTGCCCTATG